TAAGAAATTACGAAAATGCCCTTGAGAGGTAAACTAGTATGAGTTAACCCTGAATGAAAAAGTACTTTGAGAATTCATACTTAACTCGATAAATTACGGATTTAATGGTTAAGATCTGTCTTTGTACAGAAAATTCATGATAACATGTTTGTAACTTCTGAGAAGGCAATTGACCTGAAAATCTCCGAATTAAGAATAAATTATTGAGGGTGCTCTTTTATCAGAATTGTTCGAAAAACTGGAAAGATGGTACGTTTAAATTAAATAATAAGATCAGATGAGTTATAAAGGGTTGAAATACGTTGGATCAATAAAATAACCAAAATACCCCTGTAATGGAAATGACTCAAGAGTATCGCCAAGCCAGGAATGAATGGATATCTTCAAGCTTTGAAATAGATGGAAAAACATTGAGCACTAAAATGACTAAAATGCCCTTATGGCCTAGACTGAGTAGATGTTTTGGATTAATTAAGAAATCTAAGTAAACATGGGTGTGGTATTGATCTTAAAATTTATGGATCACATATTAAGCCGAGCAACCAATGCTAGTGTTATATCAGTACCAGAACGGCATAAATGTCACTTGAATGCGTGTTCGACTTCTCAAGTTTGGTTCGATGATAATTTTGGAAGTATTCAGCTCAGCTCAATTCTAGATCGCATTTTGTACTAAGAAGAGGATATTCGTTAGACAAATCCACAATGAAGACCAAATTGAACGGAACAGGAGTACAATATGTATCTGAAATTCAGAAACGTCTGAATTACTATAAAAAACCCTAAAGTAACTGTAAATGACTTGACTACTAAATGAACTAAGTAACCTCAAGAATTGAGGATTAAGTAAGAGAATGGAATATGTTTGGAAACTCGGATGAACATATATGATGTATCATCTCTATGGATTATGAATCATAAATTAAGTACGTCGGCATTTCCTGGTATAGTTTAAACATGGAAATGAAATAAAGAGCATTAGAATATTTGTTCTTCTCCTTAAGATCTGTTCAGTGATGACTCAGAAGATGATCTATGGATAAGAATATTTGGTATTAAAGAGTAAATACCCTGAAAGGTTAGTGAATTGATAAGTTGACAAGTATTAGTTCTGGGAGCTATTCATCTGGAGTTGTTCGATAATCCAATCAATCGACATAGATTGTAAAGGTTCTGAATCTTAGTTCTTCCTTATCAGCTCAATTCACATTCTGAATAACTGATGATTCCGTCAGTTATTGAACTCTTCCAATAGTGATTCTAAATTCTGATATTTTATCGGTATACTGAAGATCCGTGTGTCTCTGCCTGTTAAGATTATCCTGTACGTCTGAATAATATCCATAAACTCTGGTGTGTTCCCTAATCACATAAATATTTTATCTAATTTCTGACTTGAATTCTGTTCTGATACATTACCTGAATTCTGTTCTGATTTCTGATCTGGATTCTGTTATGATATCTGATCTGAATTCTGTTTTGATTTATGATATCTCCGTTTACTAACGGAGAAATGTTTTATATGGGGGGTTTATTGTTGGAGGAAGTATATCTACAGGCTTCTCGGCTGTGTGCTCAGAGCCTCACTGGTTGTGCGGGGTGTATGGTTCCGGGGAACCTACACAAACAGATTGTGAAAGGATGGGGGTGTATATGTATATGTTTTAAAAAGACCTGTATTTGTTTACTGGTTTTATGGGAATACACTAGAAAACCTATTCTGATCTCCTGAACCTAAACATCCCAAATATTGTTCCATCTGAAATGAATACTATATGTTATTACTTGAAACATCAGTAGGATTTCCGCTCAGCATAAAAATCTGTAAATATCTGAACCGATAAGGAAATACATGTTTATCTGTATCTGTACATTCTTCAGCATCATCTGGTAGTTATGTATTACTGAGCTTTCCGAAGCTCACTCTATTACTCACCATTGCAGGTTAAAAGAATTGTACCAGTGCATCTATCGACTTTAGTAAAGGAGCTCTTCCGGCTTTGTTTGCAGAGTATGGTACATGTGATTAGAGGGTAAGTAATTGTATTTTGTTTTATATACGAGTTTAAAAATATGTTTTATTTTTGCGTAATGATATATCATTTTATAATTTACATGTTTTAATAAAAGTTTTAAATTTTCCGCTATTTTTATAGTGGGTCGCTCCGGTGGTCCTAACGTGATACTCCAGATCGGATCGAGTTAACCGAATCGGTCTGGGGTTACAACCAACGAACTTCACTCTCTTCAGAAGAAGAAATCGGCTCCCAATACGCCCCATGAAAACACCCAAGGTGTTTTTTCTAGCAACAACACTGAAATAGAGCGCCAGAAACAGCAGCTGCAATCCATCAGGTAATTAGTGCATCATTAGTGTCGTGTTTCTATACGGTGATTATTTTCTGTATGGGACAGTGCTTGTTTGGCGTCCTTGACGAGGGAGATCGGTCCGAAGTTGGTGAAAGGTGAACTTAATTGACACAGCTTCGTCTGGCTCGCCGAACATTGAAATGGAGGAGCATACTTTCATGGTGAACAGAGAAGAGCTGTGGATTACTTGAATTCCTTGGATAAGGTACTTATTCAAGTTTTAGTTAATTAAGTTGAGGGTTGCTTGCTGAGTTCAGACCACGTATCTCGCCTTAAATGATCAACCTGCGTCTTAGGAATGGATGGATGTAGTGATAGAATCTGTTTCAGGTTTTCGTAAATGATCAGTTTCTAAATTGGGATCCACAACACAGACTCAAAGTCCGTATCATATCTGCCAGAGCATACCATTCCTTGTTCATGCACAACATGTAAGTCACGAACCAAAAACAAATAGAATTGCAGATTTCTTCCATTCCATTCGTTTCAAAACAAGATAATATGATAATTTGGTGTGTCACAGGTGCATTCGACCCACTCCGGATGAGCTCGACAACTTCGGCGACCCGGAATTCACCAAGGGCAGTTCCCGTGTAATTGGTACACCCATTACATGACTTCCTCAACCTTGATAGGAGGGAGATGATCATTCTAGGCACACAGTATGCAGGGGAAATGAAGAAAGGTTTGTTCAGTGTTATGCAATATCTCATGCCTATGCGCCAGATCCTGGGAAGACAACTTTGTCCACTGATCATAATAGGTGTTTAATCGGAGATGATGAGCAATTGAGCATTGCTGGAGCGAGAATGGCGTGTCGAATATAGAAGGAGGTTGTTATGCTAAGTGCATTGATTTGTCTAAAGAGAAGGAGCCTGATATTTGGAATGCCATCAAGTTCGGGACCGCTAAGAACTCGGATTCATCTACTTTAATGGTGAACCTATAGCAATATCTAACTTGACCGCTATTGTTCCCCAGTGTTAGAGAATGTTGTATTCGATGAACATACTCGAGAAGTCGATCACTCGATCAATCTGTCATGGGTAAGAACTGAATCATAGTGAACAAATAATGTTCGAATCCAGGCAATTGCTGTTCTAACGATAAAATTGATTGCAGAGAACACAAGGACAGCCTATCTGATCGAGTATATCCCGAATGCAAAGATACTGTGTGTCGGGCCTCATCCGAAGAATGTCATCCTACTGGCTTGTGGTGCATTTGGTGTGCTTCCTCCAGTGAGCAAGCTGAGCTTGGCTCAAACCATGTATCATTTCATCAGTGGTTACACTGCTCTGGTACTTCAACAAACCTTCTTCATGTATATGTATATATATGTGTGTGTGTGTATAACAGATTGTTTATCATAAAAAAACAAAACAGGTTGCTGGGACAGAAGATGGTGTGAAGGAGCCACAGGCGACATTTTCGGCTTGCTTCGGTGCGGCATTTATAATGCTACAACCGACCAAGTATGCAGCGATGTTAGCAGAAAAGATGCAAAAGCATACCGGCTGGTCTGGAAGAACGTATACGAAGATCAAGAGTCGGAACAACATAGCTATAGAACATGGCTTCTGGTGTATGCATTTCAATTTCAATGGATAGTTATGTTCTTCCCTTTTTCTGCGGCAGCTATGGTGGAACAGGCAGTCGTATTAAGTTAATTTACCAAGAAAGATCATCGATGTCATTCATTCGGGGAGTCTTTGGAGGCAAACTACAAAACAACTGCAGTATTCGGACTCAAAATTCCGACCGAGATTGAGGGTGTTCCTTCTGAAATCCTGGATCCTATGAACACTGTTAATTGGATTTCTCTTTTTTCTATAGGTTTTTCACCATTGTTCTTCAATTGCGTCTTCCATTTTACTCGAAAACTTGAAGCATTATTTATTGGATTGCAGTGGGGTGACAAGATGGGCTATAAGGATAGTCTAGTGAAATTAGCTGGTTTGTTCCTACAAAATCTTTGAGGGATTCATGGATTCCAAGATTGGCAAACTGATGGAACAGAGACTTGCAGCTGCTCCTGTTTTTTTGAACAGCCTGGTGGTTCGGGATCGGTGGAAAGATGGTTTGATCTAAATGAAATAATTATGAGATCGTCAATCCAATATATTTGGATTCGATCCAACTGATGCAATTTTCTATATAAATCATATAATATTAAAATAGGCATATTTATATAAACAAAAATTAATACAATATAGCATCATATCATTTTGTCAAGATTAAAATTTTTAAAAAAATTAAAAAATATAAAATTCTAATATAGAGATTATTAACATAACAAACTCTGAACAAAACTTCACCTATAAAACCAGTTCAATTAAGTGTAAAAAAGATTAAAAAAAAACAATAAAAGTAATCCAATGTGTTAAAACCTGTTAAACAATGGACAAAAAAATAAAACCTGTTAAACTTCAACTATCCCAATTCTAGAGAGTGGAATAAAACAATGAAATAACATTTAACTTACAACAAGAATGAGATATAATGTAAAGGGTAAAGACTACCGATCCACAAACAAATCCACTGACCATTTTGTGCAGTGAAGTCTTGTTCCGTAAGAATATTTCATGTTACAAAATTCTATGAACAAGAAAAATCACAAATCTTTTACATCTTTGTCATTGCCAGATGAATAATTTTGCAGGCACTAGGCTCTACTGTATGGCGATGATTGCAGCAAATCGGCTCGGAATAAGCTTAACTAATGCACCACCGGGCAGAACTGTCAGAAAAATAGCTCTGATCAGAAACTATTTGGCATAAGAGAACGTTTAGATATCTGTAGTACAATCAAATGCAAATTATACACGATTGACAGTTGTCTCAAGCTGTTTTGTTGTCATTAGTTCTCTCTTTGCCACCTTTCACGTATCATGTGTGTGCTTTTTTTCCTATCTCTCGGACAGGCCAATATTTTTTATAATAAAAGTCAAACTTACTACAAGGGAAATTCAGAATTGAATATCTTACCCGTTTATCCCCACCTCGACATTAAAACGTTGTGGAACTGAGCTTTCATCACTAAACAGGCAAGGTAACCTCTAGATTCTTCTGAAGTAGCCAGCCTTTCGGATAAACAAGATTGTCGGTATGTAAATGTAGATGCCAATTCATAATCCTCGAACAACCAGGTGGTATACCTTCCATTTGGCTTTCATCTTCCACTACTTGCTCAATAAATGTTGTTTCCTGCATAGAAAGAAAAGTGAGCAAAGACAAGAATCAAGCTGTAAGCCTAACATTTGTAGAGAAAATACACATCGACATCAATGAAATAGTGCAAAATGCAACACAATGTGATTCATACTTGGAAACCCTCCTTCACTGTGTCCAATTGTCGAATTGAGTTTGAGAAGGGGCGTCACCATAGCTTTGGGTCCCACAAGATGGTGCTGTTGAAAGCAAATCCCGACATATCAACATGAAACCTACGAAGTCTTTTGCTTTTCTCATTTGTGTGCCATCCAATTACTCGACTCGCATTGCAAACTGAACCTTCCAGAATAGCCTTGTTTTTGCTTCGTTCAAGCATGGCAACAGGCCAAGTTCCGAAACGGCTACAACACAAGAAGATGCATATCATGAATTTGTGTATAATAGCATAATTGGAAAAGATGAAGCATTTCAAGGTAGTCACTTTACAGCTACACCATTGGAGAGCAATCTGTAGTCTATAACATGCAGATGAACAAGACAAACTCGGAATTCAATCTAGAGCAATCAACAATTAACAAGTCATATCAATCCAAGCTAAGGAATTAGCAAAATAGTTATTGAGATCCTCATTAGTCTTTTGAAAAGGGAAAACTTCTAAATATCAGCTAACAGCTTGAACTTTTAAGTCAAATAACCAAGTTCTGAATAGCACATACCAATGTCTGAACATGAATCGGTTAGGAGTATTTCGAGAAAAATAAAGATTCCGGGCAACATAGATCAAGATTACAAGTTCATAACAAAACAAACGATGAAGGCAAAGCTTGAAACATACAGGCTGAATGTCATATGAAAATGAAACTAGATCCGGGTAAATAATAGAGAGCTAAAACGGCGGATTTAATCCACAAACAAAAAATGCTATCATTTGGAAATGACAATAATTTTCAGATACTCACCAAACTACTAAACCAAAATCTCTACGAAAACAAGATGTTATTAAGAACAATTCAATAACCATTAACTTCCCAACCGCTTTGACCCAAATTTGTAATCCTCATCAACTCTCTTCAAAAGCAAGATTCCCTCAAAAAAAATTTAAAAATACCTTATAGTTCTCAAGCTTTCAAACAACTCCAGGGTGTAGACATTATCGTCGTCGGCAAAAAATACGATCCCGTCAAGCTTGTGCCGTTCGATATGTTCCAAAGCGGCGTTCCTTTGATGAACACCTCGGTCCTTCACGTTAGTAGAATTGCGCGTGGACACGACGTGCCGATACATGACCCCGTTTTTCCTCAAAATCTCGGCCGTCTCCAACGACACCGTTTTCTCCTCCACCACTATCCAAACCAACGGCGGCTTCACTAGCCTCAAAACTTGGCCCAACCTGTTCAAGAAATAAGCTTGGAATGCCCGATTATAAGTCGGCGTAACGACGATTAACTGCTTTAAAGGCTCTATTGAATCGGCAACTTCCTTTTGTTCTTCCAATCGAGTGTTAACGCCCAATGCAACATAAGAAACAATCGGATCCTCCGATTGGAGATCGACATGCGGCAGTCCGAGGTCGGGAGGAGCTAAATCCTCGGGTCGGAAATCGGTCTCCATGTGTCCCAACGGAACAATACCGAAAAGCAACCCTATTAGGAAAAAGAAGAGACAATGGAAAAAAGGCCGCCGCCATCCTCGACGGTAAAATAAATTGACGGCGCTGAACAACAGCTTCGACGGAGTGGAAGAGGGGAAATGCTTAGCGTTCCCGTTATGAAAGAGCTTGTTACGCAGAGACGAGGAGAATCCGCCGGCGCCGTTCTGGTAGGAACGGCTGTGAAATGCCGGAGAGAGAGTTCGACGAATCGAAGCCATCTGATTTGTCGACTAAAAATAAAAATAAATAAAGGAATGTTTAAGAGAAAGGGGTGAGATCTAGTCTAATAAGAGTTGCCGCGGAGACTCATCGTCTTTCACTTCCAGCTTCGCTTTCTACTTTTACTTTTATTTTCATCACCGCGTATTCGCCAGTTTACATGTTTTGTGTCGTAGTCTTATGTTTTACTGCTATATACAATATTTTATATACACTATTTATTTATTAGGCAGATCCAATTACGTGTACTTTTTTTTAGTTTTATACTTTTCTAAAGATTAAAATTAATAACAGTAAATATGATGATATTTACTAATAAAAAAAAATAAGAAGTTAATTTCAGTTTTTATTTTCTGATCTTAAAATGTATAAAACTAAAAATTTTATATTAGGTGTAAGTATATCATAATCCTATTTATTAATAATACATGATGATTGCAAGATGATACATTAACCGCTCGAATTTAAAATCTCAAAAACAAATTAACTTTAAAAAATATAACACTTTATTTACTAATTGAGACCACTTAATAAATTCTATATACCATTTATCTTTTTTTTGGAAACAAAATATAGATTACATTAACTATAAATGACATTAAAATAACAGGATAATCATAAGTAAAATGTAAAGGAGAGTGACTAGTGATTATTTTGATAAATAATATATAGAGACGGATTATTTTGACATCCCAAGCATCAATGAAAATTCAAGCCTTTATTTATCACAAAAATATGGTATAAGCGTTCATATATGAGAGTATATCGATCTGCGTATGTTGGACACACAAATAACAGTCCAAAAGTAATTGTATACGTATTCAATAGTATGAGATATACCCAGATGGTCTCCAGTCACAAATAACTGTAAATCAAACAATATTAGTATTGGATCTGACATGATTCACTAGTTATTACATATGATTAAATAAGTAAATAGCACTGATGATCGTAGTTCAATTCAATGTCACTCATAATCGCAATTTAACTTAGGGTCTATTTGTTTGCCGTAAAATCAATTACGGAATTGGTTTTCTCCGAAATTTCGTGTTTGTTTCATGTAATTCGTTTTCGAAAAATTTTTCCGTGTTTGTTGCACGTAATTCGTTTTTCGGAAAATATTTTCCAGTGTTTGTTTCACATAATTCGTTTTCCGGAACGTAATTCATTTTCTTAGTAACATAATTTCCTTTGTGTTTTTTGTAAAATGACTTACGGATTATTTTCCGAAATTCATTTTCCGAACTTTTCACTTCAAACATAAATAATCAAAATAATTTATTTTATGAATTTAATATTAATAAAATATTTTAATATCATTTTCATCAAAATATTAATTATTAAAATATTTAAATATATTTATTAATATTTATAATAATAATATTATATTTTTAATATTATATAAAATAATCAATTATATTATAATAATATAAGATATTATATTTTTATTTTAATAATATATAATAAAAAATTTTATATATTTAATAATGAATATTATTTATATATTTAATAATATTTTAATAAAATATTTAAAATATACTATTAATATTTTTAAAATATAATATAACACTATTACTTTAATAATTATATAATTTCTATATTTTATTTCACTAAAATATACCAATATTAATATTTTTATTAATAAAATTATAAAAGTAATATTTAATAATAAATAAATTATTTTAATATTTTAAAATAATAATACTAAGTTTTATCATAAATAATATTATTTATTATATTTAAAATTTGTAATAAATAATTTTTAAAAAACTCTTCTGGAAAAAAGGTTTAAATAACATCTTCCAAACATCATAAAACGTTTTCCAGATGTTTTTCAGAAAAATGTAATTCATTTTACGGAAAATATTTTCCGAAAAACGTTTTCCAGAAATGTAATTCATTTTCCAGAATTTAAATTCCATTAATTCATTTTCGGAAAATCAATTACAGCCAAACAAACAAACCTTTAATCACATTAAGTAATTAAAGATAGATGATTACGAATTGTGAAATGATAATTAAGGGAGAATAATTATTTGGTACACAAAAATATTTAAATGTCACTAAACTATGTTCAAATATTCATTTTGGCCATTCAACTTTTACAAATTAAAAAAAAATATTAAACTTATTAACAGATGATCATTGGATTTTATCAAATTATTACAAACGTCTTGATCTCTAATTATTTGTCCTTAATTATTATTTAAATATTAATTAAAATATATTAAAGTCACTTGCAAAGTAAAAGAAAACTACGGATATATTAAATTATGATCCAAATAGATTAGTCCTTGCAATTTAAATAGTTAATTTTTTTCAGTACAGCATAAAATGAGAATTGGCATTGCTGGATTTTGAATCCATCTGAACCACAGCATTTTGCATACGAAATCATCTTTGAAAAGAGCAAATATCATAAAAGAGAATATACTCTGAAACTAAAATTATGGCTCTAAACTAATTGTCTGCTGAATTCATTCCAATGGTTCTTCCGCATGTTTACATACATAAACATGATCATTCTCTATCATTCACTAAAACAAACTGACCTATTGGATTTTTTTTTACATTGCTAGTTTTTATATATAATTATCTACTGATTCCAACTCATATGCCGAGCCAGTAAAATTCCGTGGTAAAGGAAAAAGAAAGACTCGGCTGATCAAAGATAGATACAACCTTTCGACAGAAGCATCTTCGACGTACTAATTTACAGCAGCTACCATCTCTCGATGGATCTATCCATCCCTGTTGTGCCAATCTTGCTCATTTGGTATGCTAGAAAACTTGAAACATTGACTGTAGGCTCTGCGCAATTCGCGATCAATCTGGATACCATAGGTAAAAGCCAGACTCCTGTAATATATTCATTCAAGTAGTTCTGGATATGACCACATTATGAAGTGATCAAAAATATCCGACTCCAAAAACTCTATATGAGCAGCTCGTCCAATGAAGGTATTTAAGTTTTTTCCATACATGGACGTGTCAAAGTTGACATCACAACGGATAAACAGATGGTTCTCAGAGGTAGGTGACCGTATCTGGTCTAAGCAGTCGTTCAACATCTCCAGAAATGCTTTTCCCTTTCTGGAGTAGTCTGATGATGCTGCCCGGCATGTTTCAATTCTGGCAGAATGATACGGGACATAACCATCCTGTGAGGCAAGTCATCTGTTAATGACCTCATGAGTCGAAGGGAAAACATTTAATTTATACAGTTATTGAATTATCACTCGACTATAAGGTAAAACTGCTCAAGATGGCAACAAGTTCAAAGAGGCACGGAATACCCGGGTGACGAAAGGAGGATTATATTCTTGAAACTATCCAGAGTTTTTTTGCTGAAAAAAGAAAATCGACTATTTCAGAAATTCAGAGCATAAAAATAATTACATATTTCTGACATGTCTTCAGCATAAATGCACAATCAAATCAATAGTGAGTAATAAAAGGAGAATGGTGGCAAAATGCAAACCATAATGCGACTTTATTCACACTACCTTACAAAGTTTGTAGAAGAAAGTGTTACGGATATCTGGGTCATCTGTGAAAGTCAGCTGATGAATGCACTGCGTCCCCTTGAGCTTCTTCAAAAGCCACAACCCAGAATTGAATAAAGAATTTGAACTGTATAGATATCCCAAGTGTGTCCCAGACACAGATACATACGTATGGAGGAATCTTAGGTAAGGTTCCATACTACTATCTGTGCATACAGAAGCACATATCAAGCACACATTTCAAAATTAATAAAACTGCAAAATGAAGCTTTAGACAAGAATAACTACCTGCTAATGCTGTTCTTATTATAATGTTTCCAATAGAGTGACCGACAAAACTAAGTTTGATGTTTCGTAAGTGCCCAGTTTTCGAAGCTTTATCCATTTTCTTTTTAACATAAGCAATCACTTCATGCGGCAGCCTTAGTCCCGTATCTCTGAAGTCTCCTGATGTTTTCTCTTCATTTGCCTCCGACATAAGAAAATGTATCTTCGAATCTAGTAAAAGCCATTGGTTCCTAACAAGCCGCAAATCCAGATGATGACCCTGTATATTCAAGCCAGGATTAGACGTAAAAAAACCGTATGTGCCCTTCAAGGTGCATGAAAAAATTACTTCAGGTCCTTGCGTACTCCATATCAAATAATTCACTGGAATAAATAGCATTAAATTAAAGAAACAAAACTACAACCAAAGAAACAAGTGTGGGAAGCCTAAACGTCCCTGAAAACCATGCACAAAGACAACAATCTTCAGGTCATGCCTATTTTCTGCAGCACTTGTACTCCCAGCTTCAGAAAAAGTGGTTGTGGTAGCTAAACTCATTACATCGAAATTCCTCAAGTATGACTTATCACTAATAGAACGTCGAGGGACATTCATTACAGGTTCCATAATTACAATAGGAACTGCTGAAGGATCTCCAAATATTTGCATGTCTTGGATCGATCGATTGTTAATCAGTGTGCAAACAATTGTGCCATAAACTAAGGGATACAGAAATAAGTACAACAAGAAGCATAAACACAAGAATACCCTCATTTGTCCAATACTGCGCCGATGAAGCTCAGCTTGCATAGTTGCTATCTCTGCAGGCTGCATTGCACTAGATCAAATTTCCAAATTAGAAACCAAGTGAAAGAACTATTGTCTCTCCTAACTGAATACTTAAGCCAACAGCAATATATTTATACAACAATAACGTAAAACAAGTATTTACATCATCGGTTAACTTCATCAAATTTGGACCTCTCTTATGCACAAGATGATGGGAAGGCTCATCAAAACCACCATTTATATAATGATGAGGCATTTCAACCTTATTGTAAACCATCCATATTGACCATTCCGCTCTCCGATCCTTAACCCATGCATCACGAAGGAATTGCAATATCTGTGTTTTATTATCCCTGGAATAAAATGCAAATTTAACACCTAAAATATGCACAAATATGATGAAAGCTACATTAAGGGGCTCAACTCATCTTTTCGGTTGATTAGTACTTAGGGAAGAAAAGATTAATAATGTGAG